TGCATAAACACCTCCGCATGATGGCTTTGAACGTCCTTGCTGTAGATTGTAGAACCCATGAGTACTCTAGAAGCCTGACGAATCACCTGTATCATTCCGGCATGATCATTGTGAATTCTAGTAGAATGCGCCCACAAATTCTGGTCACATCATTTCAGGCCCCTAGAAATTTTCATGTTCAAGGCTCTTGTCTACTGGATTCAACAAGAATTGTCATGGTAAAGGCCCGTGCACCCCAAACCTACCTAAGCCTATCCAGACCCTAAACCCTAAACCCAAAATGGTACCCCTATATAGCCCCTATATATCCTTTATAACCGTGCCAACTATCAAGATCCCTAAGAGGAACCGGCCAAGCATCCCGATCGCCGTAGCTGCGAGCAACCTCCGGACGATCTTCGGGATCTGTCGCGCAAACGTCCTGAACCTGAGGATGGTTTTTTTGGGGGTTTGGGGTTTGGGGTTTAGGGTGAGGATGGTTGCTTAGGTGCTATCTTTCAGGGGATATAAGGGTTATATCATATAGGGTAGGTATATATATATATAATTAGGGTTTGGGGTTTAAGGCTTGATGTAGGACCAAGGTCCACATAGCATTTTAAAAAAGGCAAACGGTTTAGGGTCAAGTGCTCACGGTTTGGGATGTGCTCAAGGCTTAGGGCTTAGGGTTTAGGGACGGAGGATGTTTTGAGGCTCGGGCTCGGATCAGGACCCATCTAATCTTTTACAATTTAAATTGTAAAGGGTTAGAGGTTTAGGGTTTAAGGGGTTTTAGGGGGTTTCGGGCTTGTGGCTTGGGATTTTGGCTTTTCGAGCTTGGAGGTTGGAGCTTAGCGTGCGCGGTTGGGGGCTTGGGTTATATAGGGATAATGGACAAGAAAATGGAAACTACAGGGATTATAGGGGTTATATACGGAGTATTAGGGTATATATTGGGTGTTAGAGGGACCATGGAAAAGAAAATAACAAGGAGGTAATGTGGGGATTCTATAGGGGTTTTACAGGGATAATGGAAAAGAAAATGGAAACTATAGGGGGTACTGTGGGGGTTCGAGTATAAGGCTCTGAAGTTTCCCTGGCTCAGAGCTTTTGAAAGCCTGTGAGGAGCTTTGGTTGATGGAGCTCGTGCCCAGTGCTTGGGGATTCTGGTCAAGTGAGTAACTTTTTTTTGGTGGTTGAACCTGGCAAGATTATATTCCTTATATAAGATACTATACCCCAAAAGGAGGATCTAATCTTACTCTGTATTGGGTACCATGGTACCCCCCGAATAGAATACTACTCAAGTATACGTGGTAGGCTGAGATCCACCAATACTTGGAATAAGCAATGACTGTTGGTTGATATGATTGGGTGTTTGGAACCCAAAACGCTGTTTAATTCATCATGGCGCTTAGGGTATAGGCTTCAGGGTTGGCCATGCGGTGGGGATTGCGGCATTCTGGAGTTGTTTGCGTGCTGGGTTTGGGGCTTCGAGCTCTTCCTGATTTCAGGGCTTGGTCTGGGACACAACCTCCCAGACCAAGAGAACAACTTCCATGAAGTACTCACCGCCCTAAGTTGGAACTCGAACTTCCGGGGCGAACATGGGGACCGCCAAGCCCGGGTACGTAGGAATTGAGACTTGAATCCCCAAAGAACCCCTTCATTCCCCTGTAGCTGAAAACCAGCCAGTAGAACCCAAAACCCTGAACCCCAAACCCTAAACCACAAACCCTAAACCACAAACCCTAAACCGTACAACCTAACTCTTTGAGACGCTCCATCCTTGGGAGCAGCCAGGGCGCGCAGTACACAAGGAGTCGCTGGGCAAAAGTCGTCTGCTCGCCATTCTGGGGGTACGTCACTTCTTGTAGCCAGACAGCCTGGCTTCTGCTCAAGGGCTCCGAGTTACGTAGTTCCTTGTTGGGTTTGTTATATGTGTGGAAGGACTCTGATATACTAACTAACGAGGAATTACATCAGAAGTTATGGGTACAGTTGGTGCGCTTCCAAGTTCGGACTTTGGGCGAATAACTTAACATACTGGACCCCTAGCTAGATTACAGCGACATTCAGTTTTAATCCTCCCAAAAGCATGGCGCTTAGAGATAGCCCGATTCAGAGGAGCGCAACGTCTCCTAATGATAACCAAGGGAAAACATCCAAATGGATGGTATGCTACCTTCCGTTGCATTTATGTTGGGGTTACCAGGAAACAATATTACTACTGTTACTATTACCACTACAACTATTATTACTATTGCTAGCAGTACTATTATTACCATGATTAGCATTGTTGCTATTATTGCTCTTAGGGGGGATATTGACTCAAAGGCCGCCAAGTTGCAAACCCCACTTGTCACTGAACCCGGAAACCAACTCCAGCCTATGCCAGTAGATTTTAATATGTTGGGGTAATCTTGGGATAATATAGGGTAATATAGGGATAATGGAAAGGAACATGGAAGCAGCTCATATACTATAATATACTATACTGTACTATAATACATAATGGAAAGGAAAATGGAAGCAGCCCATATACTGTAATGTACGATAATGTACACTAGTACATATGCCTGGGAAACTCCAAACCTTTGCCGCGCCACTTCACCACCGAACGCACACATTGCGGGCATACTGCCATGACACGAGAACCAGGCCATATGCAGTCATAAACACTAATCCCTAAACCCTAAACCCTTATCCCGAAACCCCGAATCCCAAACCCCTAAGCCCTAATCCCTAAACCCTAAACCCTCATCCCTAAACCCTAATCCCTAAACCCACAAAGCTTCTGGAGGCCTCCGTGCGGCAAATATCTGCTGCATCCAGGAAGGAGAAGTTGAACCCCGAAAGGTCCTGGCTTTCAGGGATCTGGGCTTACTTTGAGGGAGCCTCGGTTTTGGGTTTTGGGTTTAGGGGTTTAGGGTTTAGGGTTTAGGGTTTAGGGTTTAGAGCTGGGTAATGTAGTATATCCCCTTACTCAGCAGTTATACACCTATTGAACCCCTGTACAAATAGGTTTCCTAAACATTAAACAGCCAAAGGGTTCCCTCAAGTGTACCCCTCCGTTGCTACCCCAATTGCAGATCAGGCCTGGAAGTAAGTCTGTAGATAACCCAATTAGGACCGCATTTCGGGGTGGGGGCAGAAGAGGAGGGGAAACCGTAAGCCTCAAGATATGGAAGTTTCTATAAGTAGGGGGCTAAGACATAAGGTTTAGGGTAGCGATCATGTTGCTGAGGGTATAGGGTTTAAGGACCAGCAACCCCCGGCACCACAAACTACGACGTTTTTAAGAAATTCTTGACGAGCATGCCTATTAGGGCATGGCAGTCCTATGACCAGACTAAGCCTTAACCCCTAGGATTTAGGGTTCCTTGCACCCCAAACTTTTCCTGGGGTCCAAATCTACAAGTAACAGCCAAAATAACTATGAATAGTAGTAGATACTTTACGTAAGCTTTCTGGATATCTAGGATTTGGAATCCTGAACTTTACACATCCCTATATAGCCCCCATAAAGCCATGTGTATATATATATATGTACATATATATACACATGTACATATATCTATATATATATATGTATTCATATTTGTACCCTGTTACTTTGAAAGTCTGTACTCCATTTCTCCATGAGTCCACGGCATCGCGGCAAGTGATCTCTGCAGTCTCGCCCGGCCTCAACTTAGAAAGTAATTTTGGGCCCGCTTTTGCCTTGAGGTCCGCTGTTTTGTGTTTTGGGGCCGGCTTATTCAGGATAGGGGTAGTCATGTGAGGACCGCATTAATGTGTTTTGATGTTGGGGCCCTAAAAATATGGGAAAGATTACCAACTCTCCATTTTGAATCAATCCACGGGGACTTCAGAACCGTGGGAGGCTGTGGGCCCATGTTGGGGGACCGTAGTTTCTACTTTTCTGAGGGCCCTGTTGTTGGGGGGGCCCAACACAAAAGCATCTGTTGCAGGACTTATCGGGCTTGTCCGCGGACCTTTGGGAGCGTGTTGGATGGTCCGAGGACTGACGTGAAAGTTAACGTCAATGCCCTACGCAAGCCGCGTGAGGGGAGCCAGTTTTGATCGCAATGCTGCAGCATATTAACCGGCAACATCTTATACCTCCTGCGCAGTACTGCGTCGTCGACGTCGAACATCCAAGCAAAATTTCGCTTCACTCTTTCTTTGCGCCGCTACCCTCCTTTTCCTCAGCTTTCGAGAGGAGCCGCTGCCAGATCATTACAACCCAGGCCTCGCTTCGCTGCCGGCACTGTGAAGAAACCTTTCCGATTTCCTCGCGGTAACATTACGACATGTCTCGCGCGTGCACGCACACACAGCAGATAGGCAGCCTAAGGTGAACTCCTCTGGCTTCGGGTCGCAGATCTCGGGCCCAGTCTATGAAGCTATAGGTGACATAACAACGTGCTCATACATAAGGCGACATCTTCAATCTAACCACGGTGCCTCTACTGAAGTATCAGTTCCGCGATCTACTTGCTAAGTCTCCCTGACCCTCCAAGGGGCATTACCATCTTGAAGGTACCAGCTACATCGTGGTCCGTTGCTGTGGCGTCCCTACAGATAAGGTCTCTGGGATCGTAGCCTAGCTGGTAATTGAACTTACGACATGTGGTGGCCTGCAACTGCTCAAAGACCTCCACTTGCGTTTGACAAGCCATGGGCATGCGCTTGATAACTTCAAAGGTTTGCATGGGTCCCTGTTAAGGAGCCTCTCTGTACCCTGAACGCACTGACTAAGCATAAGGATAGGGCTTTGCGGCTTTGCCCAGAATTGGCCCGAACTCCAAACGCAGAGCCCCTGAGTGGATCCTCGCCGGGGCTCCATCTCGAATTTCATGTTCATAGCCTTCCTGAAAACGTAGAACTTTCACCAACCAACAACCTTTGCAATCCTCCCCAGCGCTGACGGAATGATGGGATTATGGATCATCCATTGGGTTTTGACTGCTGCAGGGATCCCCCCCGAATTCCCCGTACAATCTGTACCAGGGCACGCATTGTTGTCCGGCTTCTCGCAGACGCAGTGAGTATCACGGAGACGAGTGTCGCACGTCTTGGGCTCACCGTCTACGAAGTTGACCGGGTCACTGGCGTCCGTGAGATTGCACACCTGGGAGAGGAAAGCTCAAGAGCCCAGGAACATCAGCCTACCACAGCTTCCATTCCTGGGGCAAAGGAACCCAACCATACAGCATACTAAACAGCCTTCATGACCTTAAGTACCAGGCAGCTTACACTTGAGAACCCTGACGATGTACTGAGGCCATGCCAAATGTTCAGCATTAACAGCCTGGTCCACCTAGGAATGAGGTTAGATATGGTAGTTTCCCAAAATAAGGGGACCCCAATGTAGACCCCCAAATACTATAATTCTTATTATTGGGACCCCCAAAAAAGGTACCCCTAATTTTGGGAAACCCCCATATGTTTTCGATGGAGGGCTCCAGCCACAGCGTGAACCCAAGACCCCAAACGCAAAATGATGGAGAGCTACACTCCTCCAAACGAAGGGAAAGCCGCTCAAAGGTGCAATAACTGAATTTCCCTTTAGTTTGGGATGTTCTCGGTGGTGGTTGAACCAAGTAAAGTCTGTTGGTCTTCTTAAACAGGACCATACGACTGAAAGGCGACTTTGTCTTACTCTTTTGAGGGGACTATTCTAGTAACCCAAGTTTCGACACGTTTCAACCAACCCACCAATCTCAATTTGTTCGCAAAGAGCCGCATACATTGGAGAGCAAGTTCGAGCATGGGGTTTGAGTGGGCGTCTCATTTTTGTTGGTTTCCACGGATTGGGGGCTCCAACAATAGGCACCCAACAGACTATAAACCTCGTGAGAGATTCTGCGCTGCAAACATTAAGGAGTTTAAAGTTGAAGGTTAAGATTTGAAGTTGGGGCTTAAGAGCAAAACCCTCCCCTACAGGCTAACGCCAAAGAAGCGTACACATCTCAAAATCCAGCAGTGGCGTTCTTGCGTCCCCCCAATTCAATGTCCCTCCCTTGGTGTAATTGAGTCTAGGGGATAGCAGACAAAAGCATTCTGTGCAGTTCTAGGAGAAGTCATTCAACAGTTAGAACGTAAGGGACTATGTCTATGTTTTGGACTTGGATACTCGAAGGATGGAGTCATGAAGACTGTTTTAGAAAGTTCTATCAATCAACCAATCTCGGACACCGCGGGGAGGGAGGGCGGGGCAGGCGGGGAGCAAACCTACGGGGAGTATCTGGAAAAAAAGAAACCCATGTAAGACAATCTAGGGGATCTCTTGAAGAATGATTTAATCTCCGCATGCACAAAAGAACGGTGGCATCTGCGACGCAAGAATGTTGATCAGATCTGCCCAGATACAAACCTACAAAGGCCATGGTAGGGCCTACTGTGGAAACTTTTCAAGGCTTCAGGTTTCAAAGGGCTCAAAAGGTGGGATGAAGGAAGGTGGGGTATAGGAAATAAGCCCCGATATAGTAGAGTACATACGAAGGATCCTTTGACCCCCCACCTTCAACCCTCCTTTTGAGCCCCTTGAAGGTTACAACATTGGAACCTTTGTTTGTGGTTGCTATCCCACATCTTGTAGCCCAAAAATGACCCTCCAGCAGTCCTCCACGCTTGCAGTACCCTTATGGATTCCTTCGTCCAAACACCCACCAGTCCCTTCTCATTCCTTAGCGTCCCTAAGGGCCTCATCTTGAGAACCCTTACACCCAAACCGGCCCGAACCCTAAACCATGCCTCTCACTATAACCCTATGAAGGAACCTAAGTGTATACCAGAGCATTCGGACTTTTATCCAATTGTACTGAATGGACCAGGCACGGATTGATCATTCGGGAATCGGCCTGCGAAGGGGTCATCGCGAACAGCCACACACCGGGCTCCGCGGTCCTTCGGTGAACCAGCCAACGTCTTAGCTTTACAGACGAATACGCTGCGAAGAAAAAGCGTTGCTGTGGGAATTCATGTTAGCTTGTGGGAGGGCACGTACTTGTGAAATATTACCAATCACGCGCCGCTATGGTCTCAGAGTCTAGCGTCTAGATTGGAGGCAGCTCATGTCGCCAATCCCTCTGGTGGCTGCCATAGCTTACATCACCCATCACGCCACTGACAGTTACCAAGACACTCACTATCCCTTGGGAGGACCCCCCACCCTGTAATAGTGGTATAATAGGAATATAAGAGGACCCTAATATAATCTTTATTATCCCTTATAGTCACTATTACTGGGTGGGGGGTCCACCTAAACTATCCCTGAGATTGTCGGCAAAATCTAAGCTGCAAGGTCAGGGGACCATACCCTTGGGGGAAGGGGTTGGTAGCTGTGGGACCGGAATCGCATACCCCAATAGAAGCCCTTAGATTCCCCTGCGTAGCCTATGTATCCTTGCATGTTCCCTGAACGCTGTTCCAAGGATCCAAAACCCTCTCCCAGAATTTTGAGGAATCTTACAACCCAAGCTAAGCCCTATGTAAAACCACATAAAACAGTACAGGATCCAACTGTAAGGCCCCTTTGGGGTTCTGGGATCTCCAAAACTCAAAAACGATCACCTGCGAAAATCCCCGCATGGAATTCCCCCAGATCTATGCCCAGTAACTGCCAGTTGAACTATTGGGCGCTGTGCTAGAAAACCAAGCTTAAGGACCCCTACATAGACATTAGCCCCCAAAAGAACCAGCACACCCCCCGCGATCCTTGAAAAAAACAATCGAATTCAATTCCCTAACCCTAGATTCTAAACTTTAAACCCTATTCCCTAACCCCTATATAAATAGTAGTTTCCATTTTCTGTTCCATTATTCCAATGTAACCCCAATACAACCCTCAACCCTGGCCCCTTCCAAACCCTAAGCATGTGTCCCCACAGCATGTCCTGGCACCAGTCGCGGCAACTCCTCCTTGGGAACTTCGGCGTGTTGAGGTTGACAAAAGCAACCTGAAGCAAATGAAATGTGGGCTTATCAAAGAAGGGTACCCTTGGAAACCCATGGGTTATATGGCAATTAGAAGGAGCCTGCAAAGCACCCCTTCTAGGGTATGCGGGAGCTACCTTTAGAAACTTAAAATGTTCGGAGAAAAAGCATTGAGGCGCTCAAGGGTTTGGCTTTTAAGGGTTCTGGGTTTTGGGTTTAGAAGAGACTGAAAGTAGAAGCTGCACATACATACTAATCAATTCCAGATGGTGACACGTCAAATTTGTTGTCCCTTGTGGCGTTTACTGTATAATGCGGCCCCTCGTATCTAATGTGCCCCAAGGGGACCAGAACCTTAATAATCTTTCACATGATACCCAGGTAAAATCTTGCTTTCACGGGTGAAGGGCCTAAAAAATCCGCGGTGAAGATCTTCGTGCTCATGTCTAAATCCCAAGCCCTCTCCAGATGAACGGTGGGTCCGGTGGCTGAATCAAACTATGATTTCTATTCAAATAACGCAGTGCTATACCAAAAGGAAAGATGTATACATACCCTTGCTCCATCTCCCTTATGGAGGATAAGCTTCAACGAGTTCATGATCAGCTGAACTACATTCCACGGGCTTGGTGAAAACAAAATGCTTGCACAACCATGACCTCAACTGTGTAGGGTTTAGGGTTTAGGTACGGGCCCTCAAATGGTTAGAATAGGGTCAACCCCAAAGAATTGGAGCCTGCTATGGATCCTAGTTTACTTGCCGATAATCCCTCAAAGTTTTTGTTAAGGGAAGTTCGAATCAAAAACGCAAAGAGCTTGGCTGCTCTTGACAACCTAACGGCACTTTCAACTCTTTGCTGTTGTTCATACCAAAACTCGAGAATGCCAAGGTTAAAAAAGTACAATAGAGTTCTACAGTGCGTTCCATGGGCATCTGCGCATACCCGCGTAGATTGTCAGTGATGAGTTACATACCGTTCCGTGGAGTCGGCCCACCCACTGTTTAGTTTGACCCATGAAGCTACAAGCAAGAAAGAGCTTGTGTCCATGGCGACCACCCTGCGGTCTTGGACACAGATGCTACAAGCTTCCTGCGACGGAATTTTGTCTGGAAGTGTAACCTCAGCCTAAGCAAAAGCACCTGACCACCATTGAAACCCTGAGCCCACAGCCAATATCAACACTACATGCTTGGTCAGTGGGCGCAATTCTCGCCGTTGTTCGCCAACTCTTTGATACGCTCGTTGTTGGCGATCACGTCGGGGTCGGTGCTCGTCTCATCCCTGGGCAAGTAAGGCGTAATCCCAGCATTGTGTGTGTGTGGGGGCAATGTTATCAGAGGTATATGGCAGGGTCTTGGATCATTGCAAGCCGGATATCCCCAAAAAATTAGGACAAAAGCCATCCTATTTATGGCCCCGCGTCTATCTACCCATAGTCTTCCAAGTAGCAACAGTGATTGTTCTTACTTAAGCTCGGGCGAGCTGATCAAGTTGACCCTAAAGGTGTTGACGAAAACCCTAGACCCGAAAGTTGAAAACAAAAGCGGAGTTTTAGCTGCAGGGGCTGATCTACCTGAAAATTGGTGGATGATTGCACTATAAGTGGAGTGGCAAATCAGACCCCTGTAATCAGTACGTGATTTAGGGTCCTTGCAATACTGTTTCTATGTCTCCACCAAACACACGAACATCCAAGCAGCCGTGAAGAAAATCGACATGAGCAGCGTGGGTCTGTATAATGTATTAGAATGTTGAACTGCTCAGCGCAGGAAAGCGCGATCGCCGAAATCACCAAGTTGATGCCGTTGCATTTGCATGCGTTTATTACAAGTAGAACTACTAGATGCATTGACAATATGGCAGTCAAGGTGGTCATGTTGATGATGCAGGATGCAGGTCCTTGTAATGAAAATATCTTGCGTCCGTTGTGGGAACATGAGGAGCGGAGTGATCAGGGTGGCGGTTAATAGCAATAGTGCATTAGGGACCTACCCAGAAAAGAAGCTGGATCATTACCGATATCAAAATTATCAAAATCAACCCCTAAACCATCTTGCTGTTACAAGGATGGGTTCCGGAACACGATGATCTGGCTTCAAGCATACTGATGCGCCCGGTTAGGAGGTTTATAAATCCTTTCAAATGCAGGCAGGATAAATTCGACTTCAGCCCAAAAAGACCCCTGATTTCATCTGTCCCGCAGCTTACTTTAAGAAGATCGCTTACTGCATGATCAAAACGATATTCGGGCAAAAACAACCCTCAAACCCTAACCCCCAGCACGAATCGCCGAGCTCTCATGCTTAATTAAGCTCTCTGATCAGTATCGAACATTGGCTAATCCCATAAACAAGTATGTAGCATCAGGCGCCAAGGGGATGGTGCCATGGACCCCACCTTTGAAAAGGAGCAAAAAGAAATGAAGAGGAAACCAATGAGAAAGCAAAAAAAACACCGCCAGAGACATGTCTAACCTGTTGAACATCTTTCTAATGTTTGCTTTCCATCTCGAATTGAATTGCCCCTTGGGCCCAAGAAATTCAGAACATTCATTTCCCCTCCTAGGTACTTTGAAAAAGGGGCGCCAATGGTTTAGGGCTTAGGCCTTTAGCATTTTTGGGTTGTGGCCTCTAGACCCTATGTAGCCTATGTAGCCCTACACCGCTACATACCAGCAAACCTTGACCCCTAAACCTCTAGGCCCCATACCCCAAACCCTGAATTCCCTAAACCAGAAACCCAAAACCCGGACCCCCAAACGCCCCAAAATCGAGGCTAGGGGACGGAATGCACTCGAGGTCCCGGGGGCTGCCAAAGGGCCTCTGCCAGTTGGAATTAAGGGTTCAGGGTTGGGTGGGGTTGAGGTTTTGGCGGGCATGAAGTCTAGGGTTTAGGGTTTGGGATGGTTTGGGATTTCGGCTTTCGGCTTTAGGGTTTAGGGCTCCGGGTTTGGGATTTCGGCTTTAGGGTTAAGTAGGGCAGTGGTTATGTCATTGCCGGGCTGTTCTCGGAGAGCATTGCTGTCATTCCGCACCCGTAAGTGAGCCATGCCTGGGGCATTGCTACATTAGGGGGTTGGTTGTTGTTGCCAGAGGGAAGGAATTTCTCAGGGTCTGCCAAAATCAGAGGTCCCTTTCAGGAGCCGATGACAGGGATTGCAGTATGTGGTGGATTTTGGGGGAGGGGACCCTGATTTCCGGCTCCTGGGCGGGCTTTGGCCACCTAAACCCCAATCTCTAACCCCAGAACATCCCTTATGGTGTTCCCATGAAACCCTAGAGGACTACGTACCCAAGAAGAATATAAAGCCAGCCATTGCCCAAGCACTCAGCCAAACTTCCTAAACCCGAAAAATCCCAGAACCCGCGAGTTTGAAAGCCTATGGTCCCTTTTGGGACGCCTAGAAAGCCTAAAGCCTAAAAGCCACAACCCCAATCCCTACAACCTAGACTGATGCCGCCGGATTGCTACAAGAATCTTAAGTACAAGGAAAAACTGTGCCAGAAATGTGAAAATGTCAACAAATGTGATTCAACCATATACATGTTTCACATTGTTTCACATGTTGACATTTTGGGCCCCCCAAGGGGTCTGGAGAGGGGTTGTGTTTTTTTTTGTACGGTTTACACTTCCACATCTTCACGCTTTCACATGTTTTCAGAATTGTTCAAAGAGGATTTAATCACTTTGGGCCCCCACATCACCCAATATCCCCAATCTCCAATCCCTAAACGCAAACCCCTAGGCCCTAAACCCACACCCATAAAAGGAAATCCCAAAACCCCAATCCCTGAACCCCCAAACCCCAATGCCTGTTACTAGTATTGTCTTGTGGTGCCTCAGGAACTCGCAGCCGGGTTGGACAACCGTACCACCCGGAGGTGCCGGGCACCCTGGCGGAGTGAGAGCGGCACCTTAATCCATGCAACTGTGAGGTTTGAGGGTTGCGGGTGGGTTGATCAGGGGCTGGAGCAAAGCAAAACAAGAGGAAAAACAAGCTGGTCCGTCGTCAGACTGCGGAATCGAGCAGTTGACTCATTGACCCCAATCATCCACGACCCAATTCGGGGCTTGTGTCCACAAAGTCAGGCGAGCAGAGACCGAAAAGGCCCTCCACGGTCCAGGGCTCGGGGTTCGGCTTAAGAGTTTAGGGATCAGGTTTCCAAGCTCACGGATTCCGTGAACCGGACCGCTGCACGGCGCGTCAGGGCTTGGCGGCAGCAGGAGCAGCAGCAGCAGCAGCAGCAGCAGCAGGCGAGGATTATCGCGAAGAAAAAGATGTTGTGTCTCGGGTTTAGGGTTCAAGGGGCTCTGAAGGCTTTAGGACAGAGCAGTTCGGGATAGCTTTTGAGGATGTCGGGTCTTGGGTTTGGGATCCCTTGTTTGTGTACGCAGGCTTTGGGGGTTTGGGGTTGTTCAGGGTTGGTGATCAAGGGTTCGCGGCCTTGGGTTCACGGCCTTGGGTTCAGGGCTTGCTTACTTTACCTACTGCTGAATGTGTGAGAGCTGACAGGGGATTGATTTGAGCGTTCTCACGGTCGCCAAAGCAAATCAACTCCCTAAAACCCTAAGCCCTAAATCCCCTTTTGGGTAACGTGTAGCTCTACACGGAACCTGGAACCCAGAAAGTGATGAGTCTGAGGGACACGCGGCACCAAATATTCAAAGACAGTCGGCTGGATTGGCGTTCAGGGACATGGAGCTTAAGGGGACTCACTTCATGAGGGACTAGAGTTTTGGTCTCAAGCTAGCAGAGGTGTAGCAAACAACCTTAAATCCTACATGCACGGAAATTAACATGGAAATCCGCATACAGCCCTGATTTACAGAAAAAGTAGTCTTTATAGGGCCCCATTTTTCCATGTAAGTTTTTGGCAGGGTAACCTCAACCCCAAGCAAGAAGTAAAAAGAACAGCGGCCCTACTCTGAATCACCGGCATCTGCGCACTCTAAACCCTAAAACCCTAAACCCCTAAACCCCTAAACCCTAAACCCCTAAACCCTAAACCCCTAAACCCTAAAACCCTAAAACCCTGAGCCCTCAACTCCCTGGACCCCAAACCATAAGGCTGTGAACTCTAAACCCTAAACCTTTCACCGACATGTTGTATGGTAGTTTCCTAAAAGAGGGGTGCCCCAATATTGTCCTCAAAAAATCTATAACCCTTATTCTAAGCGCCCCCGGACTGGTTCCCCTAGTTTTGGGGAACCCTAAACCCTAATTCCTAAACCCTAAACCGTGTATATCTCTATGTAATCTATGTAATCCCACATGTCCCCCGTTAATAACTTAAAGGTACCCCTGAATGGGGATACCCTAAACTCTCAACCCTAAACAAAAAAAAAACCTAACCCTTAACCCTATTTTCCCTGCAGAAATACCTTCCCCAGCAGTGTCATGTCAGGCTGTAGGTTGGTAGTAATACTTGCAGTCATGTTTCTTTCCTGCTACTTGTTGCTGTGAAGGCCCAAGTCCCAAATCACAAGATGCAACATGCATGTAACAAGTCGCATAGGATGTAGCAAAGTAGCAACTCCTAAAGACTACCAAGACGTTCTTGTGCTTCATAAGGAAAAAGGCCTCCTGTGTGCGTGCCGCGGACCCGTTCATGAGAAGACGTAGCACTGGGGACAATCCTGAAGCTCTTCATTCCCCTATAACCCCTTAAAAGGTACCCCTAACTTTTGGACACCTTCCATATCTCTTCAGGGCACCATCCTCCTGGCAGAACTCGCAGAGCTCCTCCCAGAGATTAGGCTTGTCGGGCCTGGGCGTGGGCTTCTTACTTGAGGAATCATACTTGGATGTGTTTAGCGTTTAGGGCTTAGGGATTTAAGGGATTTAGCGTTTAGGGATTTAAGGATTTAGGTGTCTATATGGCAGTTTTCCCAAGTTAGATGTTGTTTTTTTTGGGGGGGGGTCCTATAGTAGGGATTATGATATATTGGCGTCTATATTGGGGTTATGGGAACTACCGTATAGGACAGGGTTTAAGGCGGTTTATGGTTCAGGCTTTTGGATGTCTTTGGGTTTCGGATTCAGGGATGAAGTCTTAAGGGTTGAGGCTCATAGGTTTATGGCTTGGGGTTTGCGAATTTCTGGAAAAGGGGGTGCCTCAAAACCAGGGGCGTAGCGATTTATTAGGTGATCATGGGGGCCTCCCGAGCGGATTACCTTCGGGATTGTTTGAGAAACTCGAAATTCCTGGCTCTGCTCGTTGTACAGGATTGTGATATGGCTTCGCTTGTGGAAGGGCTTTGGAGTTTTCTGAGCCTGGGCGTGGCATCAGAGTCCCTTCGTAGGAGCCCAGTAAAACTACCTTAACCCCCTAAACCCACCCGGGACTCTGCCAAAGCCCCAATGTCCCAGGGCACCAAAGGAGCCTATGGGAAGCTTCCTGCGTACTTGTTAGTTTCCCTCAATTAGGGGACGCTAAGACAGGCCCAACATACAAGAATCCCCAAGACAGGGACCACCAAAATGGCACTTGGGGACAACCCCAACGCATCGCATACTAGTCCGTCAAATGCTACCTCAAGTACGGTTCCTTCTCTGATGCTTCGGTGCTAGGACAGCGCCACGTTTAAAGCGGCAACCGTTCAGAGTCAGACCAATTGCAATTTGAGTTGCGGTTTTGAGCTCTGAGTTCTTTACCCCATGCTAGGCACATGGTCTACTACACCGTTCTTGAAAGCATCGCGGGCAGCGCGATGTTGGGATTCCCAAATGATACCCAGCGTCACATCTATCTGATATGATGCAAAGCTTGACACATTCAATTCTGAATCTGATCCTCTTGTTCAATCTTTCACCAGAGGCCATATCTCGCAAGCATAAACCCCCTCCATCGGAGGGTCCCAAGATAGGATTCTCGGGGCACCTCCATACAGCTAGTGACTTTTTGTATTGCCGAGCGACGTAGTGAAGAGGTTGTCCTCACTCTGCGGATCAATGAACTGGGTGGAAAGCTTCCTTGGCGCAAGCTTTGCGGCTGCCAGGGGACCGTACTACTCTCAGAATATCATATCATATACCATAATATGCGACTACCTGTGTTACAATAATGGACTCAGGGCGTAATTTTCTGATACTAAAACAATACCAGAAGACACTGCTAAAGACTATACTATCATAGACTATGATTATACTTCAGTATACTATAACCTACTTTAGTAGACATGTCAAGAACTGAACCTTGATAGAGAAAGTCTCGCACGCTTGTACCCTACATTTGCGGTTGCTGCTACTGCTGCTACTTATTAGGTTTAGGCTTCAGGGTTTAGGTTTTAGAGTTCAGTGTTTAGGGTTTACGTTTAGGGTTCAGGGTTTAGGGTTCAAGGCCAGTCTAGACACGATCCCTGCCAACCCCCTAATCCTCCCTTTCAACTGAGGGCTCCAATGCCAAGAGTCTGAGCGCCGCAGATGCCGTCCGCTGTGATGGCGCAGCCCCAAATTTTGACAACAATGTTGTTGTAGTAGGCATTCCTTGACAGGCTTCCGGGTGACTGCAGACTGCGGGTTCTCCGCTCTCTTCAAGCAAAGCGTCAAGGTAATATATGGGTCTCAAGAATTCAGAAAAGAGTTATAGGATCCCTAAACCCTAAACCCTGAACTCTACACGCTGATCTCCACCTAAAGCCATTAAGGCTACACAGGGACCACGGAGGATTATCTAAGGGGTATATGAGGCCTATGTAAGGTCCAATATGGCAACTCCCTTCCCATAATTGCCTGAAACCCTAGCCCTAGACCCTAAACTCCCAAGCCTGAGCCTAAATCCTTGCGAGTGTCGGGGTCAATGCCAGGTTCCTCTCTCCTCCGTACCTCATCTGAGTCAGGCCAACTCCAAGAGTTTTTTGGGACTCCATGATTTCCGCGTTTAAGGTTTGGGGTTCAGTTTTTTTTCCAGCCTATCTTTTCCAAGTCTGGGGTTTAGGGTTTGGGGTTTGGGGTTTAGGGTTTGCGGTTCTTATGCTGCGGATCTAGGAGACTTAGGGGCGTCTAGGATTCCCTCCAAGCCGTCAGGCATCATGTATGGATGTTGTGGCCCAAAGGTGACAAGGATGTGTGTCTCGTGAAAGGTTGCTCTCCACCTTTTGGGGAAGCAATCCAAGTCTCAAAGGACCAATAGTCTCTACTCACATCAGCTGCTCAATCTTGTGGTGTTGCACTTGCGGTCTGGGCTTGGAGAAAAGTCCGCTCCTCGTAGTCCAGAAGAGTGACTCCGAGTTGGTGTCTTTCAACCCGGGTTATAGAGGAATCATAGGGTATATATTGGGCTATATAGGGATAATGGAAAAGAAAATGGAAACTACTATACTGGGTTATATAGGGCCTAAACCCTGGATCTGAGGCAAAAGGGGCAGACGGTTGCAGGCGATCACCCGCAAGTACCAAAGTACCAGTCAGGCTGCTTCGAGCGTAGTTGTGCGCCCTGCATGAGGTTACTATAAGCACGTGAGCCCAGACAGTGAATTCGCAAGGGGTATGCTCCATACGCCCTGCCGTAACGTGCACAAGCCCTTGAATTTTGCTTTCCTACACCATGACATGTAATCCCCGCATACGATTCTAGCAAGGCAAAAAATCATGAATCTGGTACTGCAGCATGCAGACTAGAAGTGACTAAGATTGAGAATTTATTCCGGCTTCCTAATGCGACTCGCGGTCAGTCAGGGTAAGCCCAGGTACAGGGGCTGACTGTTGATCTTGATGCGCACGCAGCTGTCCTGCACAATCATGGCAATAAGAACTTAAAACTCGGTAGCATTGAAGGCAAAGGTTACTGAGAACCGCTCTCCTGCTTTCAGGTTAGGACAGCACTTGGGTCAATGTCGGTCGTGTGCCCTTTCACGCCCCAAAATGCTGAAACCACTATGTATGGCCACCTCAAACAAGGGCCCGTAATCAAGGGAATAGGTTGGGTGGACCCCCGACTCTGTAACAGTCTGTACTAGGGGTCATATGAGGGGCTATATATGACTATATTTTGGAATATGATTCAACTGTTACAGAGTGGGTGCAGTACCCAAAGAAAATAAGTTAGGTGGACCCATGTGAACCCCCCACCCTGTAACAGTGACTAGAAGGGATACTGGTAACTCTGTGAGAGTCCTCATGAATTCCTATTGTACCACTATTACAGGGTGAACTTTAAACCCTAAAACCTAAACCCTCAACGAAGGGATTACGCAGCGGTCATCGCTGACGATAATCACGCCGGCAGCCGGGTCGATCTCCTTTGGTTCACTGGCGTGGAAACTGTTGCTTAGGGTTTAGAATTTAGGGTTTACGGTTTAGGGCTAAGGGAGCGCAACAACAACAACAAGAACAACAAGAAGCATAGGTACGGTCAAGGATTGCAACAAACCGAAAGAAACAAGAATGACATCAAAGAATGAGAATGGTGACGGTACATGTGAGCCCTGGAGTAGTGTTATAGAATTTTCCTTACATTCCCTATTTCCTACTAAGAACTAGGAAGTTTAGGGGGAGTGGTTTAAACCTAGCCTTGCACCGAGCACTGAGAGAATTCGGGGAGGTCTTAGCCTAAGCTTTGGGATGCTCATACCGAATTGGCTTCATGTACAGAATATATATATATATGTTTGGGGTTTTAGGGCTTAGGGTTACATATGGGGGTTCCCAAAATTAGGGGTACCTACTGTAATGGAGAATCAAATGGAAAAGAAAATGGAAAATGAAAATGGAAACTGGGATATATAGGGGATTATAGGGGTTAGGGTTTCCCAAAATTAGGGGTACCATTTTGGGGTCCCCATAATAAGAATTATAGTATTTTGCGGTCCATATTGGGGTCCCCTCATTTTGGGAAACTACCATATATATATATATTTATGTTTGGGGTTTTAGGGCTTAGGGTTTGCGGTTCAGGGTTTAGGGTTCAGATTTTAGGCTTAGAGTTTTCTACATCTGCATGTACACACCCATACAAATATGCATGGATGCATGCGTATAGATGTGAGACTTAATCTAGGTCCGGACATGCATCGGTTTCCCTCAAGTGAGGCTTTTTTTGGAGGCATACGAGATTTGCCATAGATGTACTATAGCCTCTGTGTTGAGAGCAGGCTGGTCGAAAAGGGACCTCCATGTTGAGGGGGCCTCGACCCTAAACCCTAAACTCTGAACAACTTTGTCAAGCCACAGGGGTCTTCAATATCTTCAACGTGGCACTCTCGACGTTGGGGCTGCCAATCACGTACTGATCGCCAACCCTCTTCACGATGTACCTGGGCGAGGGATACAGTAGCGTTCCTCATGCTTGAACCCAGCCGGGATACATCTTTTTCAGAAGAACTGCAACCAAAAGCAGAAGAGAATCTTACCCTACATCAGGGGCCGCGGAACCCCTTAAACTATTCATGCCATGGCAGCTCAGAGCGTAACTCCTAGCAAGCTGCTGTACCTAGGCCCTAGGCTACATGCGATGAAAACTGATGCGAAGCATCATCGACCTAAGCACTTTGGAGTCTCTCAAGATACTCCCCATACAGTGCTTACGATAGACAGATGCAGTTCTGTATGTTCACCCAGTACCCAGAATTCGTCAAATGGCCACATGTAGATAGACAGCTCGCTGATCTCCCCTCATTAATAACGCCACACCCCTCAACCTCTGACCCCCACACCCCAAACCCTGGACAAGCTCAGCTGCTTGTCTCCGCCGTTGATAGTGATGGCGTAGGCAATGGCGGAGCTCAATCGCGTAAAGAAGTACTGGCAAAAGAAGGCCTGTACCTGCATCAGTGCCCAGATTGATGGGTCATAACCGGGAGCCCTAACCCTAAACCCTAAACAGTGGTTTCCATGTTCTTTCATGTTCTGTTCCTTTCCATTGTCCCTATATAACCCCTAGAGTTTACGGGTCAGCGAGCAGCGTTTTGGGCTCCGGGCTTTGGGCCGCTGGCTTGGGTTCCGAGTTCGGGAAGCTCATGGGGTGTCCATAGATCCTACTGGAATGAAAATAGTATTACGTGTCAGGGGTTCAAGGCATTACAGGGCCGGGCAACCCTCAGAGCCCCTATAAACCCTAAGCCCCTAAACCCTGAACCCTGAACCCTAAACCCTAACCACTAAACCCTTAACCCCAAGTCCTGAGTGTTCCTCCTCAACCCGCCCTGCCTCCACAGTACCACCGCAGGTCTCCGTCTTGGCCAGGCGCCAAATCCCCTGGGGCTGGAAATCGAAGCCTGAAGAAGAAAACTTGGGATCTAGGGTTCAGGAGTTTAGGGTGGATTGAACATTTAAACGTTGTTAAGGGGAGTTACTACTCATGTTGGGAGACCCCATATGCAACTGCAACACGATATGCCAGGGAGAGAGTGCCTAAATTTGCACTAGGTATGGCTGGCATATCCCTACAAAACCAACTCACCAGGACGCAGGTGTCTCCAGTGGGGTTGAATGAAATGGAGACTGGGATTATTATGGCATATATTTGGGTTATACTGGGGTTATATTGGGATAATGGAAAATAAAATGGAAACTACTATAATATAATAGGGGATATATTCACAGTTCAGGGATCAAAGCTGAGCCTTGAGCATCTATGGCATTTGCTAGTAGTGGAGCCCTCTACTTGTCCTGAGGCCTCAGACTGAAACAGAAACAGGTTTTAGGCTCTGGGGAGACTCCGGAGGTCTTGAGCCTTAGGGCTTTGAGTTTGGGTTGGGGTGTAAGTTGGCCCTAAGATTGCAAATAATGTCAAGGCATTGCCAGCACGGGCCAAAGCAAAATCCACAACTTTAAACCCCAAACTCAGAACCATACCAAGCCCTACCCGCAGAGTAGTTGAATAGCCTCGAGTTGAGGGAATACCCAAAGCTTCCACGTCAGAGGCCCACATCCCGTCATGAAAGCTGTGCATCCCGACATGTTTTTCCTATGCGGGTGCCTTGAGGAACTATAGCTAGGAGGTTTATAAAAGGATGATGGGGTTCCCCACTTGGGATTAGATATGGGAGGTGTTGAGAAAAACCTCATACGCCTTACCTGCTGTGAGCGGATGAAGGAACCGGTCACAAGTCAAAAGTAGAGGGCCGATTAGGAGAGATTGAAAGATCAACTCATTCAACTCGACGAGAAACACGCCCATGCACCCGAACAGGCTGTACCACGAGCACAGGGCTAATTGCAAATGACCATTTACTAGTCACATCCAACTATCCCGCTGGCTATCCAGAGAGCCCGATGCCCTTGATTAAGGAATATACCCGAAGTCATGAAAGGGATCCTAGTCCTAGTATCAGTTAGGGTATATCTATTTAATTGAGGGGTATGGGGCTCCTCGGGGACAGGAGCCAAGACACCGTCTTCGTAGCCCACCCGCCAACTGTGCTCCACGTGGGGGTCCCCTGTAATGGTGCAGTTCTCGAAGCACGGAGACGTCCAATCCTCGAAGCAGATTCCCAGAAACCTAAACCCTAAACCCTAGGCCTTAATCACAAAAACCTGCTAAATTACCTGAGTAGAGATTAGGCGGTACCCCAACGTGTTTGAGGAGTTCCAACAACTAAGGGCCCCGTTTTCTTTTGGGGGGACACGAACTGAGGACTATAGATTATTGTGTATTTGCGCGCCCTGTTCTTGGGAAACGCCCCGAACTAAAACGGAAACCCTAAACCTTAAACTCAAGGGTGTCACGGTCCACTTCAAAGTCAGGGATCTTTTAGGGCTAAGGGTTTACGCTTTAGGGTTTAGGGTTCAGGTTTTAGGGTTTAGGTTTTAGGGTTAGGTTTTAGGGTTTACGGTTTTAAGGTTTAGGGTTTAGGGTTAGGGAGTTCATAAGCATGCTAAGAACATCGGATAACGCTACTTCCTACTTCCAACTGCAACAACCTGTGTGCAGAGCCGTCTTAACACAACGGGCAAGGAAGGATCCCACTAATTCACGAATAACCCCCCCACCCGCCCTTATGACAAATATCCCTCAGATTGAAGGATATTGTATTGAGAGGGGGTTTTTCTAAGGGGAGATGATTATTTGGGCGAATGTCTGGGGAAGCCAGCTTTGAGAAATACCCATCTGCCAGGTTGTCAAAACCAAGGTCCCTTACACAGCCCACATTCTAATTCGGCCCCACATTGACATGTTTAGTGTACCCGAAACAAGGACTACAGTTTTGACAACCCACCATCTAGCCTGGTGAGCAAGAGCCGAGAGTCATCGACTGGGATGTTGGAGCATTGGTTGCAATCGCACTGCCTTTGCAAGGTGCGCTGATCCGTGAAACCCACGCGCAGCCCAATACTAGTAATAATGGCAATGGTACTGAGAATAAGAATGTAATAATAATGGTAGTAGCAACAATAACAATGCTACTAATACAGGGCTTAGGCCTTCCAGCCCTAACTTGCCAACCCTGAAAACCAGGACTTCCGAACTCGACCCTCCGTTTTCTTTTCAATCTCAGCACCTGATGCCTATACTAGACCTTAAACACTACAGATTGTAGACCCAGGTTCCTTGTATGAATCCGGAAAACAGCACCTCAAACACTGAATAAACCTCAAACCATATTAGTAGTTGAGTGAGCTACAGTCAATATTGCCTACAGAATTTAATGGATATCGCTTCCTTATATGAACCCTGGACTAAATTTGTAGCATATCCCTTAATAGGTCCCCCCCAAAACCCTATATAGCCCCCAGAAGGTCCCCCCCAACCTAAATTTAGTCCGTAGCTCATATAGGGACTATAATGAATTCCAAGAAGGGTCCCTATGTCATTAGGCCTAGCATCCCAGCCAAAGGGCTGACCCAGGGCCGTGAAGGCCCAGGCCCCCAAGAGGACGAGGCGGAGGGATGCCGCCATTGCCACAATCGTTCTGAAGAATCACTCGAGCCCGCTGGGGTTCCGGGTTTGGGATGGGGGTGTGGGGCGTACTTATAGGGTCAGGGGGACTAAGTAGTTTAATAACCCCCTTTATCCATATAGTAACCCCACTTGTCCCCATTATTATTAACGTACTAACTAAGTCCCCCTGACCCTCCAAGCAGGGCTTAGGGTTTAAGGCCAAAATTCAAGATTTCGGCTTTTGCCCTTCTTCCTTCCCAACTGGAACAAAAGCCTTACATTGACGTTCACACAGTAGCTTTTCACAGCTATCATTTAGAACCCGCCTAGTTGAAGAGTCAAGGGGACGTAGTAGGCAGATTGATAATGGGGATAACTGCAGATACTACATAGCTTGTTATAAGTTATAACTATATATGCTTAGCAGCACTAAGTTCCGAATGACCCTCCAAGTAGGGGCAGCTTCAATACGAAGTATAAGGACTCCGGAAAATTCATAACAAGTATAGAACCCCTGTATGATTCCTACATGAATCCTATAGAACCACTACAGAATCCGTGTATGAGGTACAGTCTGTATTTCCCATAGAATGAGTCCTATGAAGGAATATCTTGAGGACCATACTGACCTACCCAAGGGTTCCCCCAGCCAAACCCTAACTCCTTCATGGTCCGCCAGTAACCGGAATATTGACAGCAGCTCATATAGCCCCTAAGCCCTGCTTGTACGTTGGGAGCCAGGCTTCCTTTCTGCTTCTTCAGATTGAGGGTAGGGATTAGGGCTTAGGATGAGGGTTTAGGGATTAGGGATTAGGGTTTGGGGATTAGGGTTTGGGGTTAAGGGTCCCCAACTGGCATCTTAAAAGTCCCTGATCCCTCTTGGAGTTTCAACATGGGGGGCTTAATGCGCGGAAATGACTTCTTTCGGCAGGGAGCCCCTCAGCTTGAGGAACCCTACAGCCTAAGCCCTAAACCGTAAACCCCAAACCTTCAATCCTGAACCCTGAACCCTAACCCCTAAATCCTAAGCCCTAAACCCTAAGCCCTAAACCCTAATCCCTACACCCTAGTCCCCAAACCCTAAACGCTAAACCCTAAACCCTAAACCCTAAACCCCAAACCCTAAACCCTAAACCCTATGCTGCTACTCACCCGGGAGGCCTCGTCTTAGCTCAGCACCTCTCAGGACTTCATAAAAACCCCAAGGTTTAGGATTCTGGGTTTCGGGATTCAGGGTTTAGGGATTAGGGTTTAGGGCTTGGGGTTCAGGGTTTAGGGCATTGGGGTCTAGGGATTAGGGTTTGCGGCTTGGGGTTTAGGGTTTAGGGCTTGGGGCTTAGGACCCAATACTGGAGAATCAAATGCAAATGAGAATGGAAAATGAAATGGGGGGGCTAGCAACAGGGAATCTCTGGTAAAAGAATTGTTGAACTCCGCTACGATCTGTGAGCTACTTTGAGAAACTCCCATACTTCAGAACCCTAAACCCTAAACCCTAAACCCTAAACCCCAAACCCTAAACCCTAAACCCCAAACCCCAAACCCTAAACCCTAAACCCTAAACCAGGCCCTCCAGAAGAACTACACGACAAAGGATCTTCTTTTGCTTGTTCACATAGATCCCGTGCCGAACCGGCTGGAATCTAGAGAAGCCTGTTGCTGGCCTACAAGAAGTCAGCAGGTTGCTGAAATCGTCAGGCGGCTTTTGGGGGCATGAAGCTGCCCTTTCGGAAGCTTAAAGATCCTCATTGCCTTGGTACAGCAAGCCGAAGAACTTAAGCCCCCCTCGACTGGTTTGCTTTACAACTCATAGGGTGTATCTAGGGCTTGTATAAGATCATGTAAGGGTATAGGGCCCAAGCATAAGCGAAAAAAACAGAAAATGGAAAATAAACTGTGATTATACAGGAGGAAATTGGGGATGGGGAATTCTTGGTATCTTGATGAGAGGCTATTATTCCTCCAGCGATGGGATTGCTTATGTCAAACCTGGCATCCAGAACTGCAAGTGTCGTGCACTCATACAACGACTACAACAGCATGACAGCAGAATGACGGAATTGGCACGACGCTAGGAACAATCGCGACAAGACTTGCAAAATGCGGGAGGACTTCAACAGTGACGAAAAGAATGGACTAATACCTCTAGCTATACTGACACCTCTAGCTATACTGCATCACTACTGAAATTGCTGCTGCCAACACCAGTGATCTACAATCGCATCCTCCAGCTAAATGTGAACTCAGAACTACCATGATCAGCACTACCACGCCAACTGGCGACCACGCATTAGCAGAGCATACCATGCTTGGAGAATAATCCGTAACCCTAATCCCTATAGCCCCCTCCTATAACTATACATAATCCCAGCGCCCATGTCCTGTTCCATCTTCTTGTCCATTTGATTCTCCATTATACCTAATACCCCCATAAGCCCAATATATCCCGATATAACCCCAGTTTCCATTTCATTTTCCATTTTCTCTTCCGTTTGATTCTCCATTATTGGGGGTACTATAGCCCGATCCAAAACATGGCCACTCAATCGTTGGTCACGTCTTTTTGGGAACCCTAAGCCCTAAACCCTCAGCCCAAGGCAGTGAGGAATCCCAACAGGGAAGGGCCACTGCCCAGAGAGCAATGCTGTACAGTGGGAAGCAGCCTTTTGCACCGAATTCGTGTTACATCGCGTGGGCACGTCTCATCTCATCTACCATCCCAGCTTATCTCTTGAGATTCCCTACGAAAGCCCCTCAAACCTTTACACACGTGCCACGACCCTCCGTGGCAGAAGCCAAGCCTTTAGCCATCCTATGTCCAGGCCCAAAGCTGGAACCTGCCACGGATGGTCCGCCGATCTTCTGCGCTGAGCGTCGAATGGAATCACGGGCAAGCTCCGAAGCCATTGCCGTCTCATCCCTGCACAGCCCAAACCACCATAGGGAATCCTTAAGGGGACCCATATAAGAACAACCCATGAATAAGGACTCTCTAGACCTCCCTAAGCCTCCCTAAAGCTCCCCCCTTCCATGGAGTCCCCTTAAGGTTTCCCTTAATATCTTTCCACCAAAACCTGTTTGGATGTTTCCCAAAATGAGGGGGACCCCTATATTGACCCAAATATACTAATAATATCTTTACTCTAGAGACCCTGAAAAAAGTACCCATAGTTTTGGGAATCCCCCATTTGAAACTACAAAAAGAACTTGTAAAGACCACTGGTCTTGTACAGGCGAAGATTGAAACCATGGGCCCCTCGTATGGGCCCTTAACCCTGGGATCTGTACATACTCACCAT